AGCAATCAGGGTTCCCTGCCCTGTGGGAAGTCCAAGGACCACCCACCTCCATCCAGGTCTAGTAAGGTGAGCATCCAAACTGCCTAGGCTCCCACAAAACCAATAGGTGCAGTAGTATCAAAAACCCATTGCCATTGTTCTTAATGAAAGCAAGTAGCCAAATTCTCTGCTACCCTGGAATGGTGAGATTTTCCCTCCTCACTGTGGACTTGTGGTGAAAACAAAAACAATTTTTCTTTCAGGCATCAGAGTAGGACACACATTGTTCTCTTATTTTGAAGAGCCCCTCCCAATTCCTGAATCGTCTCCAAGTTACGTTTTGTAAAGCTTACCTGTGTAAGATAAGAGAAACCCAAAGCTGTTTCTCTAGCCTGCAAAATATCTTCAGTCACACCCACCTCACAGAGCAAGTCTGTTCCCCTTCTCTTCCTTTCTCTGTGAATGAAGTTCCAGTTACCATCCCCACCCCAGGATCTAGCTACACACCAGTGTCATGGGGGATCTTACTGAACTTAAAGTAACTCTTTCACCCACATACCCAAGACAAAAAAGTTAAGATATTCTTCCAATTAAACAAAGACAATCAAAATCTGCCCAAGTAATAGAGATAACTCCACTGTCCTACCCAGATAATGATCATTTGTTTCTTCTGACTTCTGCCACCTACCAAATAAGATTCGATTTCTAATGTCTGACTTTTCAGCAACTTCCCCTCTCTTGCTGCTACTCCTTGTCCACTCCATAAGTGTTTCTTGGGCTCTAGAACCTTCAGTTCCTGCATAGGTACTTGTTTAGTGTCTCTTGGGTCTGGCCTACTACACTCATCTGTGTAACTCTCTATGCCCATGAGGACAAATCTTTCTACTAAAGACACCTCGCCTTTCTCTTTTTCCAAAAGCCTCAGCTACTCTCTCCTCTCATTCTCTATTGGATAAGTGCCAACCTAGAGCCACTTGCTTTGTCTGCTCTTATTACAAAAATCTCAGGTATGTGCAAGTAACTTTATCTCTCCCTCTGGATCACCAATCATATGGGAAGGAAAAACTTTTCTCTGTGGTTCAGAATATTTACCACTGATAAGTTTCCCATTCCACTTGAGGATGACTTTGATGGAAATTCTTATCACAATGGCACTTTATCCATATCAACTCACCTCCTTCTAGAACCTTTTTCTCACTTTGTCTTGGAAGCTGCACTCCTTCCTGCAACTACCTGTGACTCTTTCCTTTCTCCTCCCCTAGGAGCTGCCTGCAGTCCTGACACCTCTCTAAACCCTTCTAGGTCATTACACTCTCTCTGCTTCTCTCTGGCATCCCTCAGGTTCTGCTCTCAGCTCCCTCCTCTCCACACTTAGGCAGAATTCCTATACTTTGTGACACTGTTCCCTCTCAGATCTCTCCTGCAGTTTTACATCTTCTCTAAGCACATCTAGATACTGTGCTCTTTCTCAACACCCTTTGGAGAATATGGGTACCCTTTCTACAGTGGTGTTTTATTTTGTGGCTCTTTCTCTTGTCCTTGAAGACAAGGGTTTCCATAGGATGCCTATAAAAACAGCCTTGCTATGTTACTACAGCCTGGCCTCAGCATAGATCAATAGCCAAAGACTGAGTTTAAATTTTCCCAACCTAAAGAAGGATATCCCTATGAAGGTACAAGAAGCTTACAGAACACCAAATAGACCAGATCAAAAAAAAATTCCCTTGCCATATAATAATCAAACACAAAACATATAGAATAAGGAAAGAATATTGAGAGCTAAAAAGGAAAAAGGTCAACTAACATATAAGGGTAGACCTAACAGAATTACATCTGACTTTTCAATGGAAACCATGAAAGCCAGGAGGTCTTGGATAGATGTGCTGCAGACACTAAGAGACCATAGATACAAGCCCAGACCACAATACCCAGCAAAAATTTCTTTCACTATAGATGGAGAAAACAAGATTTTTCCATGACAAAAATAGATTTAAACAATGTGTATCCACAAAACTAGCCTTACAGAAAGTACTAGAAGGAAAACCCCAACCCAAGGAAGCCAACAACACCCACAATAGCATAGATATTTGATAAACCTCCACGAACATAACTTAAAGAAGGGAAACACACAAACACTAACACCAAAAAATAACCAGAGTTAACAACCACTGGTCAATATCAATTGACTCAATTCACCTATAAAAAGGCACAGGATAATAGAATGGATATGAAAGCAGGATCCAGCATTCTTTTGTTTACAAAAAACACACCTAAACCTCAAAGACAGACACTACCTCAGAGCAAAGGGTTGGGAAAAGGTTTTCCAGTCAAAAGGACCTAAGAAACAAGTGGGTGTGGCTATCCTAATATCTAACAAAATAGATTTCAAACTAAAATCAATCAGAAGAGATGGAGAAGAACACTTATACTCATAACAGGAACAATTCATCAAGATGAAGTCTCAGTCTTGAATATCTATGCCCCTAATATAAAAGCACCCACAAATAAAAAAATAACATTATTAGAAGTCAAATCACACATCAAACCCCCCACACAAATAGTAGGAGATTTCAACACTCCTCTCTTGCCAATAGACAAGGTTAACCAGACAGAAACTTAACAGAGAAATAAGAGAACTAAAAGATGTAATGAATAAATGGACTTAGCAGACATCTATAGAACATTCCACCCAAACAGGAAAGAATATACCTTCTTCTCAGCACCTCATGGAACCTTCTGGAAAATTGACCACATACTTGGTAACAAAGAAAACATCCACATATACAAAAAAAAATATGAAGTAACCACCTGTGTCTTATCTGATCACTATGGAGTAATGTTATAATTTAA